TGAAGAAGAATTGACACCTTTGAATTGTGGTGTTGGTGGAAAATATTGAATATACCATGTACTGCCAAAAGAACAAACAAATCTGTCTTGGAAGAAGTACAGCCAGAATGCTCCTTAGAAGCAAGGATGGTGAGACTACATCTTACATACTTTGGACATGTTGTCAGGAGGGAATAGTCCCTGGAGAATAACATCATGCTCGGTAAAGTGGAGGGTCAGTGAAAAAGAAAAAGACCTTCAACGAGATGGACTGACACAGCGGCTGCAACAATGGGCTCAAGCATAACGACTATCATGAGGATGGTGCAGGAACTGATAGTGTTTCGTTCTGTTGTACACAGGGTCCCTATGAGTTGGATCCTACTGTTGTACATAGGGTCACTATGAGTCGGATCCGACTCAACGGCACCTAACAACAACAACAACCGTGAAAAAGAACATGCAACTCAATAAGGACAGACACTAGGGGCAAATCTGTGTTCCTTTTTTGATCGTTGGCCACTCATACATCCCATGTCCTTCCTTCAATTTTCTTGTTTCTTGCCTAACGGAGTTGAAATATATAATCAGTTTTGTTTCCTCTGGTGTTAAAACTCTTCAATTCTTCACAAAATTTTATGACTCTTAGTTTCCCTACCTCTCTGAGGTAAATGGGGTAAAAGAAGCAACAAAGAATGTTTTCACAGACTGCTACCTAAATTTTGCAGTGTATCTTTCTAGTGCTCTGGATTTGACTTTGGTGGATTTCTTCGTGGAAGGTAATAGGTGATAGAATATAGGTGGCATAGAAATAGGAGGGCTGAGGAAAGGCAGAGAAGGAACAGAATGAGCACTGTTAAGGGCTAGCAGAGTATGGTAAAAAGAACATGGGACTCAAGTCAGATAATCTGGGTTTCTGGTTCCAGTTCCATCACTTATTGTCATGTGATCTTGGCAAGTCACTTCACGTTTTTAAGTCTCAGTTTTCTGATCTGCAAAACAGGGATATTATCCTTTCCCTGCTTTCCTCTCAGGGTTGTTGCAAGCTTAAATAAAAACATGGAAAGTTCTGAAAATAAGATATTTTTATTATTCATAACTTCTAACTATGGGTGAGAGATACATATGAGCATATGTAAGAAAGTATTGCTACTAGGGTTCCAGTTCATACATGCACGTGTTTATTCCAAACAAAACGTGTTTAAACATGTCTCTGTGATCAGTGGATGGCTGCAGACAAGTTCTCTCAGTCATACACTTATCTTAGTCCCTTTAGGGTGCCTTCAAAAGAAAAAAAGGATACTTTTTGTGCCATGGAAAAAAACGATTTTGAGGTCAAGACTAATATCAAATTTTTAACAAAACTCAAGTGGACATCTTCCCAAATCACTGAAGCTATGCAACAAGTTTATGGGAATGCTGCTCCACAAAAAACAACAGTTTTTAGATGGATCCAGTGTTTTAAGGATGGTCAGGAAGACCTCAAAGATGAATCAAAAGAGGGAAGACTGCTCAGAAGGTCATGGTGGCTCTTTTTTGGATTCCAAAGGAGGTAATCTTTTTTTTTTTTTTTAAATTGTGCTTTAAGTGAAAATTTATAGCTCAAGTTAGTTTCTCATACAAAAATTTATACACACATCATTATGTGATCCCAGTTGCTATTCCTATAAT